CTCTTCCTCTTCCTTAAACATTTTTATGATTCAGAAGGCAGTTGTTCCTTGTCGATATTGGTTCCAGTCCTTCAGATTGTTCCTATCTGCTTTATAACATTCACTGTACTAATCTTTTAAGATGGGGTAGGGGATGGTGACAGAGGACAAACTTTAGTTATGTCCTCAAGAAAAAGTCTTAGTGAAAATAAATTGTTCTTTAGTTAAAAAAAAAAAAGGCTAGGAAAAAATTTGTTCATACTTTTCATTTTCAAATAAATCCGAATCCATAGTAAGATACAAAAAGAAGTTTCGTGTGCCGTTCACCTCATTCACAACCTATGGACCTTGTTAAGGTTTCATCAGTTTTACATACACTCACTTGTGTGTACGGTTCTTCTAGTCAGTGTAATCATGTGCTAATTTTTGCAACCATCCCCTCAATGAAGATACAGAAACGTTCCTCTGCCACAGGTAACCCTTGTGTTAGCCTATCCTTGTGTAATCACACCCTGCCTCTCCACCCTCCCTAACCCTTGGTAGCCACTAATCCTTTCTCCATTACTATAGCTTTGTCATTTTGAGAGTGTTACATAAGTGGAATACAACGTGTAACCTTTTAAGATTGATTTTATTTTCACACAGTATAATGTTCTTGAGATCAATCCAAAATGTTGGCAGTATTGGTAGTGGTGTTATTTTTTTCATTCTTGAGTAGCATTCTATGTTATGGGTGTATCACAGTTTGTTTAACCTATCAGTTGAGGGACATCTGGGACTATTTCCAATTTTTAGGTATTAAGAATACAAGCTGCTGGGCGGGTGAGATAGTTCAGTGGCCTAAGCACCTGCTTAGGCAAGCACAGGTACCGGGTTCACTCCCTGGCACTGCATGCCCTGCTGGCCCCACCCCGGGCGTGCTGAGCCGGCCACTGAGACCAGGCATGGTCGTGCACCTTGTAATCCCAGTGCTGGGGAGGCTGAAAAGAGGAGGATGTAGGAGTCCAAGCTGCATAGTGAGACTCTGTACCAAATATATATAAAGAATACAAGCTGCTGTGAACATTCACAAACAGGTTTTGGTGTGAGCACAAGTTTTCATTTCTCTGTGAGAAATACCCAAGGATGTAGTTGCTGAATCATGTGCTAAGTGCATGTTCAGTTGTATTTCTTTTTTAAAGAAACTTACTTTCTGGAGTGGCTGTACTTCTTTACATACCCCCCAGCAATATGTAAGTGGTCCAGGCCCTTCTCATCCCTACCAGTCAGTGGTGGTATTTTTCTTTAGCCATTCTGATAGAGGTGAAGTGATACTCATCACAGCTTTAATTTGTATTCCCTTAATACAATGACATTTATAGTGTTTGTAAATAGGATATCATATCTGCATCTTGTACAACAACCGCTAGGAAGACAGTATGCAATGTGTTAATTATAGGAATAGTCCTACCAATTTGATTTGGAAAAAATACAATAAAGTTTGAACAATAAAGCAACTAATAGTGTTAATCATTTTCATGTGCTTATTTGCCATCTGAAGATAAAATATTTGTTCATATTTTTTTGCCCATTTTTTAAATGATCCTATGAGAGGTGAGTAAAATATACAGTGAATGTTTAATTTTTAAAAAATTTATTACAGCAGAAGACATATTGCTACTCGTTCCCCTCCAAATTCTCCTGCTCACTTCAAACACATATCCCATCATTCTTGGCAATGTGTCTGTATTGTAATAAGGTTTTTTAAAAAATGTAAACATTCACATATCTCAATTACTCCTTGTAGTTAGCCTAATCCTTTTGTTTTGAGGGTTCTCTACATATTGTAAGTATGAGTCCTTGGTCAGATATATACTTGCAAATAACCTGTCCCAGTCTTTTGATTATCTTAAAGTTCAATTTATCATTTTTTTCCTCATTCTAGATCATGCTTTTGGTGTCAGTGCTAAGCCCTGAAGACTGTATCATATTTTCTGAACAGTTAATGGTATAAAATTTATTGTTAATTTTATTTAGTTACATTATTAGTGGTTAGGTGTGTCCTTAGTTTTTGTTTGTTTGTTTTTTGAGGGGACTGGGGATTGAACTTGGGACCTTGCACTTGCCAGGCAAGTGCTTATGCCACTGAGCTCTATCCCCAGCGGGGTGTGTCTTTGGTGAGGGCTTTAGAAATAGCATTGAAGCTGGAGTGGCCAGCCTAGGCTACAAAGTGAGTTCAAGGCCAGCCTGAACTACATAGCAAAACCTTGTCTCAAAAAAAGAAAGAAAGAAAGAAAGAAAGAAAGAAAGAAAGAAAGAAAGAAAATTGAAATATTTACAGAAAAAGTAGTATAATGTTTAGTTTGCATCAAAATATAATAGTGAAATAGGTGAGATAGAGAAACAAGATTTGCCACGGGTTGATGATTGTTGGAGTTAAGTGATGTGTATGCTGGAGTTTGTTGTATTCGTCTGTACATTTTTGTGTATGTGTTAACTTTTTCATAATTAAATCTTTAAGTTTTCCATTAAGCTGCTTATTAGCATAGGCTTGAGATGCAGTGAATTGTTGAGAGAGATGCCCCCTTTAGCCTGCAGATGTCCCCAGCGTTCATCTAGGACTTGTCCTGGGTGCGTCATGCTGTAGTGGATGCTTGGGAGCATCGTCCTTTGGTCTGGGGAGGGTATGTCAGTAATTTCACTTCACTTTATAGAACAGGTATTCTTCAGATTTAAGGATGAGTAAAGAGTGGCATGTGTGATTGAAAAAAGACACTTAGTATGATCATTTTATGTTTAAAAATAGTTTATTGATGGTTGTAATCTGCAAAGATAAGGGCCACCGTAGAATTTCTTATATGGAAGGCAGTACGGGAGAGTGACTCAGGTGGAGAGTCTACCTCACCAAAAGGCAGCAGAAAATCAAGACTACTCTAGGGCCACGGAGGCAGCTCAGTGGCATACTTGCCTGCCTGGCAAGCCCGACGTCCTGAGTCTGATCTCTGGTACCAAAAAAAAAGACTGCTCCCGCAAAGGCAAGGGTTGGGCTGCTTTTTTTTGTTTGTTGTTTTCAGAAAATGAGACTTGCAAGCCAAAAAAACAGATTATAGCTAAACTTGAAAGTAAAAAGAGAGAGTTTAAAAGGTGTCTGTTAGGCTGGTAAAATGGCTCAGTGGTCTAAGGCACCTACTTAGAACAAGCTAAGCTAAGGAAAACACAGAGACCGCGGTTCAATCCCCCAGCACCACATGCCGGCCAGCCCTGCCCCCTGGTGGGCTGAGCTGGTCACACACACACTAAATAAATAAATCTTTAAAAAAAATAAAAAAGGTGTCTGTCTTTCTGAAACACATTCTTCCTTTTGTGCACCTATTTGTTCTTAGGACACAGTAAACCTTTTAGAGCTTTCAGTGATTAAAAAATAGCCTGCTGTAGCACACATGCTATAGGTTTGCCACCACTGTTGTAGAAAGTGTGTGTGTGTTTGTGTGTGTCTTGTAGTGGAGATCATACCGCATCTTTTTCTCTAGTTCAGGCTGGCTTTGAACTTGAGGCTCTCTGAGACTACAGGCTGTGTCACCATTCCCAGTTTCTTCAGGAATTCTTTTTTTGGAGGTGGGGAGCCGGGGAGATGGCTCAGTATAATAACATTTCCCTGGCAAGCGCAAGGGCCTGGGTTCAATCCCCAGTTCCGCAAAAAAAAAAAAAAAAAAAATTTTTTTTTTTTTTTTTTTTGTACTAGGAAACTTGTACTAACCATGCAGGCACGGAACCACTGAGCTATGTCCCCCAACCTCTTCTGGAATTTTTTAAAAGCCAAATTTTTTTTAGCTTGCATAAAGATTCTGGTTAATTTGAAAGTTGTGGAAGGCACAATGGTTAATAAATTAGTGATGGTAACTACAGAGGAATGTGAATATTTTACCTCTTACCTAGAGTAACTTATTTTTAAAACTCTAAAGCTTTAGACTTTCATGTACTCTGATCATACTAGTGATTTTCCAGCTGACCACTGCAAACATTTGCCAGTAACCATGATTAGTGCAGTGGGCCCAGAATCCTATTTCACTTACGCTGCTTTTCTGTTTCCTTTCTTAATTGTGGCCATTGTTCATGTATCGGGCTATCTGCAGGCGCTGCCCGGAGAACCGCCTGCTGTCTACCAGCTGAAGGCTCTCCATGTCCAAACTACACAGCTTGCACTGCAGGAGGGAGCTTTATGCGCCTGACTCCAAATTAACTTCAGATGCAGGTTTTGCCTTATCAAGCTCATATGTTAGTCCCTAGTTTGGGAGTTGTTGCTAGTGCCACATGTAGCCAGAGACATGATAACACAGTCCAGTTAATGTACTTCTCCTAAGGATTTTGAAATTTAAACTTCAATCACTTTTCAAAGGAAAGGCCTACCCTGATGCTTCCTCACTACTGTCCCTGTAAGACAGATTTTTTTTCTTTTTTCTTTTTTTTACACTTATTCTACTGAGCTATCTCCCCAGCCCCTGTAAGACAGATTTTAATCGTGTAAATATTAAAAGGAGGTCAGTGCTAAAGCTTATCTTTTGAGCTCCTTATTACAGAATTAGACAAATACCATTTTTTATTTATACCATTTATAGTTTTAAAAAGAGTTGTATAGTTGGTGTTTCTTATGGCTAAGATCACAGGTTTGAGCACATTCTAGACTAATGATTTTCTTTAAGTTTGATGATCTCACTGCTATTTCCTTCTAAAGAGAAAACAGTATAACTTCTAACGCACCAAAGTGTTAAAGGCTTAATGTGTTACCTAACCTCAAGAATACTACATTTGAATTTTTTTTTTTTAAACTTTTGTTTTTTTGTTTTTTTTTTTTAATTTTATTTATTTATTTGAGAGAGAGAGAGAGAGAGAGAGAGAGAGAGAGAGAGAGAGAGAGAGAGAGAGAGAGAGGCCAGCTCAGCCCACCAGGGGGCGGGCTGGCTGGCATGTGGTGCTGGGGGATTGAACCGCGGTCCCTGATGCTTTTGCTAAGCTTGTTCCAAGTAGGTGCTTTAGACCACTGAGCCATCTCTCCAGCCCAACATTTGAATTTTAAAGGGTAGTTTAAAGCAATAATCTTAAAGTGTGATGCTTAACACAAACCCATCAGTGATACAAGCGGTGGGAGGGGGTGGTGCTGTAGAGACAGTGTAGCCTTGGCGACCAGCCATCATCCCCGCCACTGGGCTGTCCCTGATTAACCTACTGACCAGCAAGCAGTGCATGTTATGTTTAAAAGTTCTTTTCTGAAGCCAAATAGCACAAAGCCCAGTGCATACATGATTTTCATTACAACTTAATAGTTTTATTGTCCATTGATGATGCAAATTAGACATGTGACTTTGGTGAGACGACTGTACACACACAGCCCTTTCAAGGTGGCTTTCTCTTACAGCTCATTTGACGTAGTCGTTGTCGGTGGTGGAATTGTGGGGCTTGCCTCTGCCCGAGCGCTCATCCTGCGACATCCTGCCCTTTCTGTTGGTGTTCTAGAAAAAGAGAAAGATTTAGGTATGTATGCTGGTGGTGGTGTTTTTCCAGCTTGCCTGAGCAGCAGGTGCCCCTTTCGTGGGTTCTGATCAGTCATGCAAAACGTTTTTTAGTATCTTGGGTTCTCCTGAAAGCTGAGCCAGGACAAGGGCTGGGTGCAGGTGATTTACTTGACAGGTGAACTGAGGAGGCAGGAAGGAGTGAGTGGATGGGAGAGTAAGATGGGGTAGGAGGACATGCCACCCGAGGCCAGACTGGGCTGCCGCTGGGAGCTCGATTCTGCTGGCACGTGTGTGTGCGGAGCAGCGCAGTGTTTCCCAGGATTGAGCTCAGGTGGCCATCAGCTCCTGTTCTCCTAATTGAGAATTTTACTTACAGTGTTGAAGCTTCCCTCCAAAAGATAGAAAAGGCCCTGGGTGGGGTATAGAGATACTAGTGGGTCCTTGCAATGGCTTTCTGGGTAAAGAGCAGTGTGTTTGTAATCCAGAGCTGCGGGTGAGGTCAGAGGTGAGTGGGAGCACTGTGACTTGGAGACAGGGAAAGCTGAGCGGAGTTCCCAGCAGCCTGAGTAAACCCAGTCAGGTTCTGATCGCTCCGACTGTGATTGCGCTCTCCCCTCTTGGGTTTTGTATGAGTCATGTAGCTTCTCTTACCCTGTTTTTCTTGTTCTGTAGCTGTTCACCAGACTGGACATAACAGTGGTGTCATACATAGTGGAATTTATTATAAACCTGAATCCCTGAAAGCTAAATTATGTGTACAAGGTGCAGCCCTCATCTATGAGTATTGTAACCAAAAGGGAATTTCCTACAAGCAATGTGGCAAGGTATGGCATTTTATTTGGGACTTGACTAATTTATAACTAGCATTTTTGAGATCTGTTAGTGGGGATTGAACCCAGGGTCTTTCCACAGAGCTAGTCTCTAGCCTTTTTTATTTTGAGACAAAATCATTAAGTTTCCCGGACTAGCAAGGAATATGCAGTCCTCCTGCCTCAGCTTCCCAGAGTGGTGGGATTACAGGCAAAGGCCTCCACAGCTGGCTTCCAGCTGCCATTTCTTAATGATATTTGATATGAATTTTTTTTTAAAAAAAAAACTTATGTTCTGCTTGTGTATTTACATAATTTGTGAACTCTTGTTAGAGAATAAACAAAACAAGGTGATTAAAAAATAACACTGTCAATACATAATTCATACTTTTAAAGTGGGTAATTTAGTTTTTAGTATATTCACAATTCAGTTTTTGGTATATTTGCAAACACCACTATCTAATTTTAGTATTTTTTTTAATCACTGGGAAAGGAACCAGTTAATAGTCATCAGCCCCCATTCACATTTCCCCGGCCCTGTAGCAACCACTAATCTACTTCCTGTCCTTATGAATTTGCCTGTTTGGTATACTTTATATAAATGTAGTCCTGTCAGAGCATCTTTCCATGTGATCTCTTGTGACTGGTTTCTTTAGCTTAGCATAATGTTTTCAAAACTCATCCATCTATTAGTATAATTCTACATCATTCCTTTTGCTGGCTAAATAATATTCCATTGTATGTTATATACCACATCTGCTTGTCAGTTAATAGACATTTCAGTGTTTTTCTATTATGAATAGTGTTATGGACATGTATGTAGAAGTTTTTATGGGAGCATATTTTCATTTCTCATTAATTTGTAACTAGCAGTAGAATTATTAGGTTGTGTGGAACCCTTGTCTTTAACATTTTAAAGAACTGCCAAACTGTTTTCCAAAATGCTTCATTATGTTACATTTCTACCAGTAGTTAATAAGGATTCCAGTTTTTTCATATCATCATCACTTAGTTGATGATATGTTGTCTAGTATTAGCCATTTTACTAGTAGTATCAGTATCGTTTAGTACTAGCCATTTTACTAGTCGTGTCTAGTATTGTCTAGTATTAGCCATTTTACTAGTGGTATCTAGTACTAGCCAGTCTACTACATACATGATTGCAATTTATTTTTTTACTTGCATTTGCCTAATGATTAATGATATAGAATATCTTTTAAAATTAGTTTATTTTTGGGGCTGGTGAGATGGCTCAGTGGTCTAGAGCGCCTACTTAGAACAAGCTCAGCAAAGCGCAGGAACCGCGGTTCAGTCCCCCAGCACCACATGCCAGCCAGCCCCGCCCCCTGGTGGGCTGAGCTGGCCACACACACACAAATAAATAAAATAAATAAATTTTTTAAAAAAAGTGATCTGTTTAAAAAATAAAAAATAAAATAAAATTAGTTTATTTTTAATTGACAAAGAAAAATTATATATATAATTTTTCATATATCATGTACAATATGTACATGTGAATATGTACACGATAACATGAATATATACACAACAAGGTAGCCATATAATTGCTGTATTTATCTGACAAACCTATGTATGACCTCACATACTTATCTTTTTATGCTAAAACACTTAAAATCTCTCTTAATCTGTAAGGGTAGAATACATTGGCTGGGTGCAGTAGCGCACAGCTGTGTCCCAGCCTCTTGGGAACCTGAGGCAGAAGGATTGCAAGTTTGAAGCCACCCTGGACAACTTAGCCAGATCCTGTCTTAGAATAAAAAAGGAAAAGGACTGAGATGTAGCAGTAGAGCAGTCATGGATTTGGCCCCAGGGCGCTCCCCACACTCAGTAGCTGTAGTCGCCATGTTGTACAATCATGTCCTGAATTTACCGCCCCTGTCTGACAGATTTTGTGTTCTTGGACCATCCTTGCTCCAATCTCCAGCCATACCTGCTCACCCATCACCACCATTCCACTCTGTGTTTATTGACTCACCTTTTCTAGATCCCACGTATGAGTTAAAGCATGTTGCCTAGCATAACAACCTCAAGGTTCATTGTTGTGGCTACAAATGATGGGATTTCCTTCAAGACAGAATAGTACTCCATTGTATACATGCACTACATTTTCTTTATTCATCTACTGATAGACACTTAGCTGAGTGCTTATCTCAGCCACTGTGAGCAGTGCTGCTAGGAAACAGTGCAGAAAGCTCTCTGGCGTGCTGATTTCATGTAGTTGTGTATCCAGTTGTGGGCTTTTCCATCTATTTTAAGTGTCTTTTTTATACTTATGGGCCATTCATCTAGCTTCTTTGGAGAAATGCATATGCAAACCTTTCACTCATTTTTAAATTGGGCTGTGTGTTCTGCTGTTGAGTGGTACATACTTGTTAAGTTTTCTGGATACAGGTTACAGCAGTCCCCACTTATCCTCAAGGGATACATTTCAAGACCCTCTGAATATTGGAAACATCGGATAACACTGAACTCAGTCTATACCCTGATATTTCGTATATATGCATCCTAGTGATAAATTTTAATGTAAAAATCAGGCATAGTAAGAGATGAACAAAAGTAACCCATGAAAAAGGACAGTTATAGTAATATATGGTAGTGAAAGTGATGTGACTATCGTCTCTCAAATATCTCACTGTTCTGTACATACTCCTCTGCTTATGACGATGTCGTATGATGCTTTCTCGCCTTAGTATTCTTGTACTTTGGGGCCACTGTTAAGTAAAGTCAGGGTCACTTGAGCACTCACACTGCAGCAGTGTGGTTAATCTGATGTCTGCAATGGCCAAAAAATGACAAACAATGGGCAGAGCATGTAACATGGGTGTGCTGGCCAGAGCTGTGATTCCAGCCCCAGGTGAGATGGCGTAGAGTGCGGCAGGATTCCACAGTGCTACTTGGATTGGTGTAAAAGTTGAACTTTGTGATGTGTGCATTTCTGGAATTTTTCATTTAGTATTTGTGGTTGACTGTAGGAAAATGAAAATCAGAAAATTATGGGTAAGTGAATACTACTGTATCACCTTATGATATAATTTGGGATATTTTATTACATTATGCAACTTCTCTCTCCTACCTCACCTTCACCCCCTCACTCTCTCTCCTTCTCCTTCATTTCTGAGACAGGGTCTCAATATGTAGTCCAGCTGGCCTTCAACTTGCTATGTAGCTGTGATGGCTTGTATCTAGGTGGCCCCCCCAAAGCTTCATGTGGTCATAAGTGGGGCTTTTGGGAGGTGGCTGTAGCTATGGTGTGTGACACTGGGATCAAGGATGTGATGTTGGGATTGATTCGCAGTGTGATGCTAGGTTTAAGGGTGTGAGTGCTAACTGCCCTGTGGGTCGGTCACTTGGATATTTAAAGTATAAAACAAAGAAGGCTGCTATTTATTGCTTGTTGCCTGTTGCTTCTTGCTGCTGCTTGTCTTCTGTTGCCTGCTCTGCGATGCCCCTCTGCCGTGCCCACTGCCTTAGAGCCAGCCAATTTGGGACTGAAACCTCTACAAAATGAGCTACAGTGAACCTTTCCCTTAACTGTGGATGTTGGGAATTTTGTCTCAACAGCAAGAAAAGTAGCCAAGACTGCCCTTGAACTTAAGAGCCTCCTGCCCAGTGCTGAGATTATAGGACTATGCCAACATCACTGCTTGTTTACTTTCTTGATAGTGTTCTTTACTTCAATAAAGTTTTTTTTTAATTTTGATCAAGTCCAATTTCTTTTTCTTTTGTTGCTTATGCTTCTAGTGTCATATCATTGCTTGACTCTAGAGCATAAATATTACTTCTATGTTTTATTCTAAGAATTTTGTAGCTTTAGATCTCACATTGAAATCGGTGATCACTTTGGAATTAATTTCAGTATATGGTGTGAGGAAGGGGTCTAATATCATTTTTTTCAGTGTAGGTATTTAGTTATATTAACATTATTTATTAGAAAGACTATTCTATATTGTTTTTGGCACCTTTTACAATTATTCAAGCATAAATATGAATTATCTTTCATTGATATATATATATACACACACACACACATATATATATATATATACACACACATATATATATATTTTTTGTATTTTAGGGAAGGGTCTACAGGGTGTTCAGGGTCTCACTACTAGATCGGATTCGTAGTGATCTGCCTGTTTACAGACTCCCAAGAGCTGGGATTACAGGCTTGTGCCACCATGCCCAGTCTCGATTGCCCTCATAGCACGCCTTGGGCGTGGGGCTGGCACCACTGACCCGGGTATGGAACCCCTGACCCCTGACCCCTAACCCATGCACCTGCTTGCAGGCGCTTTAATCTGCTGAGCTATTTGGCTGACCCTTATATATACTATATTTGGTACAGGATCTCACTATGCAGATTGGACTCGTAATGATCCTTCTGTTTTCAGCTTCCCCAGCACTGGGATTGCAAGTTTGCATCACCACGCCCCCAACTCACCTGAGGGTGGGGCCAGCAAGGCATGTGGTGCCGGGGATCAAACCCCCATCCCTGCACATGCCTAAGTAGGCATTTAGTGTGCTGAGCTGTCTTGCTGGCCCTCCATTGATATATACTCTAGTCTTTGTACCATTTTGGGAAATGAATATCCTCCAGCTTTATTCTTTGTTTTTTTCAAGATTGTTTTAATTATTTTGATACTCTCATTTCCGAATGAACTATGGGGACGTTTGTCAATTTCTCCAAAAATGTATCAGGGATTATGACTGGGATTGTGTAGATCAGTTTAGAGGATATTGCTATTTTAACCCATTAAATCCTGTAATATATGAATACAGGATTTCTTTTATTTGTTTAGATCTTTGAGTTCGTTTGATAGTTTTCACTGTATAAGGATTGTCTCCTCTTGTTAGTCCTCAATATTTTGTTTTTATTGGTGCTTTTGTAAGGGTATTGCTTTCCTAATTTCACTTTTGATTATTCTCTTTTTTACAGTTTAATGTATTTTAATAGCAAACTTACAGGAACAGCACAGAAAGACAGACAACGTTAAAAACATGTAATAGCATGTAAGACAACGCAGTTAGAAAAGCAGAGTGACTGGGTGGAATCCAGTGTATGATAAAAATGCTACAAACACTATTTAGTTGCTGTCAGTAAGAAATTTACTTGTTTTAAACAAATCCAAATGCTGGCGTTTTCCAGAAAAATTTAACAGATTTTTATTTATAGTTGTTATAAAGTCAAAGTGCTGAAACTTGTTCACTGAAACATTTTTGACTTACATTAATGATCTACATCCCGCATGAAAATAAAAATTCACACACAAATGAAAATGGAGGGGGCCAGGGAGATGGCTCAGTGGAATAAGTGCTTCGCTGGCAAGCGCAAGGGTCTGAGTTCAATCCCCAGTTCCGAAAATAAAAAGAAAGCGGAAAAACTGCCAATACCTGATTTCTGTCCATTTTCCACTCGCAATCATGTACTTAGGTACCTTTTGACCCCATGGAAAAAAACAAAAAACAACTAAAATTCAAAACTACCAATAACCGGAAGAAGAGGAAAAAAAATTTTTTGAGAATGAAATGTTTCCCACCATAGTGGACTCTTAAATACGTTCTCCACGTACGTAGCGTGCTAGTTGGATATCTTTTGGCATAATTGTTACACGTTTGGCGTGGATGGCACACAAGTTGGTATCTTCAAACAGTCCAACCAGATAGGCCTCACTTGCCTCCCGCAAAACACCAATAGCTGCGCTCAGGAAGCACAGAGCTGCTTTGAAGTCCTGAGCAATTTCTCGAACCAGACGCTGGGAAGGAAATTTGCGAATCAGAAGCTGATAACGTCTAATTTCACGGAGAGCCACTGTCCCAGGCCTATAACGATGAGGTTTCTTCCCCCCTCCAGTAGAGGGCGCACTCTTATGCGCGGCTCTTGTAGCCAGTTGTTTCCTGGGTGCTTTACCACTGGTGGATTTACGGGCAGTCCGCTTGGTACCAGCCACCGTACAGGGACTGCCTTACCCCCTTCTCCTTTGGCTGGACCTCGGCAAGTGAGAGGCAGCGCAGGCGTTAGCGACAGCAGCTCGGCGGCGGCTGCGAACACAACTGTGATTATTCATTCTTAATGTGTAGAATATCCTTGATTTTATATATTGATTTTTTTTTTTAAATCCTGAAGCTTTGCTGCTCATTTAGTAGTTAGTGTGTGAGTGTGTGTACGTGTGTCTGTGTGTATGTATTTCTTAGGCTTTTCTAGATGCAGGATCATATTACCTACTTTATTTCTTTCTTAATTTGGATGTGTTTATTTATTTTGCTTGATCATTTCCATGGATATGACCTCCAATATGGTACTGAGTACAAGTAGTAACAATGGACATTCTTGAGGTGCTTCTTAGGGAAAAGCAGTCTTTCACCCTTAAATATGATACTGACAGTAGTTTGTTTAGATTCCCTTTATCAGCATAAGGAAGTTCCTTTTTGGTCCTAGTTTGTAGACTGGTGAGTTTATTGTTGGTTTGTTCCTTTTTTTTGGTACCAGGAATCAAACTCAGAACCTTGTACTTGCCAGGCAGCTGCTGTGCTGCTGAGCTGTATCCTCAGCGTGGTGTTTGTTTTGTTTTTTGGTGGTACCAGGGATCGAATGGAGGACCTTATGCTTGCCAGGCAAGCACTTATTCCACTGAGCTAGCTCCCTGACCCTCTCAGTGTCGTTTCTTCCATTTTTATTTTTATTTATTTTTTAAATTTTTAATGTTTTTTTTGGCATTTTAAAATTTAAAAAAAAATCATTTATTTGGTACAGGGTCTCATTATATAGCTTGGACTGGCACAGATCCTCCTTTTTCAGCCTTCCCAGTGCTGAGAAAACAGGCATGCGCTACCGCACCCAGTTTCAGTGGCCAGCATGGCATGTGGTACCAGGAATCAAACCCAGGTCTTTGCACTTGTCAGGCTAGCGCTTAGATCGCCAAGCTATCTCCCAGTCCTTTCTTCCATTTTTATTTTTTTTTTATTTATTTTTTTTTTTGGTGGAACCAGGGATTGAACTCAGGCCCTTGAGCTTGCCAGGCAAGCGCTTATTCTACTGAGTCATCTCCCGGGCCCCTTTCTTCCTTTTTTAAATCATGAAAAGAATTTGGATTTTTTTGTCCTATTGAGATGATCATGTAGTATTTGTCCTTTATTTTGTTAGGATGATGTATTACATAAATTTGCTTTTGACTATTAAGCTGATTATCCCTTCCAGTGATGAATCCCAGCTGGTCATCACATATAATCCTTTTTATACCTACCACTGCATTCCACTTTAATATTAAAAAAAAAACACATAGCACTTTATTATCAATACAGTGATGAAGGGCAGGTCTTCAAGGGGCGGGAGCGGGTCCTGAAAGCAGGGAGGTGGCGCCTACTTGCCAGCGATGAGCAGGTTCTGCAGCACCATGATGACTGAGTCCTCATGCAGGAACATCTTGGAGATGTAGCGGTCCTTGTTGACTGGCTTGGACTTCTTCTTGCCTTTGCCGCTTTTGGGGACCTCAGTCCACATCTCTTTCACGTTCTCCAGCACCATGTTGCAGTGCCTGTCAAAGGCCTTCACCCAGCCTAGCAGTTTCTTGTTGTTGCGGCAGTTGATGAGCACCTGGGTGTTGTTCTTGACTGACTGGGTCAGCACAGAAAGTGGACCCGTGTTAAATTCCTCCTCCTCCCGCTTCTGCAGCTCCTCTGGGGTCATCTCACTCTTGGGCTTGTTGAGGAGGCTCATGGTGGCAGCTGCAACCTCCGCGTTACTCTCGTCTCCCTCGCGTTTCCTCAGCCTCAGAGAAGAGGCTCCACTTTAATATTTGCTCATGATTTCACATCAGTCTTTCAGAGGGAGGGCCAACTGGATAGCTCAGTAGGTAGTGTGTAGAATGTGCAAATCCGTGGGTTCAGAGAGAGACAGAGTCGGGGGGCGTGTGTGTGAATTTATAAGAAATATTGGTCTGTACTTTCTTGTTTTTGTCTGGGTTTGGTATTTTTTTCTCCAGATCATCAAAATTTTATTTAAAATGATAAAGCACTGAAAAATAAACAATATTATATGCTTGCACTGTTACTGTGTAGCTTGAAAAACTGCTTTTGGTAACATTGAAAATCATTAGGTTTTATCCCAAAGTACGCGGGGCAGCCCTCTGGGTCCACCTGGTAAGTAAGCGCGGCTGTCCAGCGCAGGCTGGGGCAGGAGGCAGGCTGCTGGCTTCCGGGTGAGCCCGGCCCTACTCGGAATGGCGGTGCCTCCTCTTGTTGTGGCTCTCGATGGCTCTCCTCAGTGCTTCATCGTGGATGAGGTCGGACATTCGCATATCTGTGTGGCTGCAGCCAATCTTAGGGCAACAGGCCTTTTTCTTCCACTTGAGCTTGGACTCAATCATGCGAACAATGGCTTCCTCTTCATAGGTGTGGCCGCACACTTTATTTTTCACTGGCTTCTTCATTTCCAACTGTGTAATGGGTCAGATGAAGTTGGTCTGACTCTGAGTCACAATCATATCCTCATCAACTCCTTCAGTGCCATCAGCCCCTCGCTCCACCTGCACACCATATTGTTTCTGTAGTTCTTTCAGCTGTTGTTTAAATTGTACAAATTTTTCATTATTCTGAAAGTCTGCATCAGAATTTTTACTCTGTAAAGCAAAAAATTTCTCCTCCACTAATAATTTCAAATCAGGTATTGTTTCTGGCCATTCTTCTTTTACATGATTTATTGCAGACTGAACAGCCATAACATAATGGTTTAGCTTC